ATTATTCGTTCGAAAATGAGTTTCCTGAGGTAACTGCAGGCCCCAATGTTGACAGTGTCACATTGAAGGCTCTGTGGGATGGTGCGCCTGGCGTTGTGTACGATAATGATAGGGCTGTGTGTTCTAAGGCTGAAACCCATCATCTCATTGATCCTCCGGGAAATTGGGCTGTCGATGAGGGAAAGGCCCTGTTGGGGCGCCAGCGCCTCGCGGAGGTCAGCGAAATCGAAGGCCCCGCCCTCAACGCCTGCAGAGGCCAAAACTGCACCAGCCGTGAGGGTCCACCTCCCGAGACCCTCGTGACGACCAGACCTCTCCCAGTGCCCCCACCCCCACACCAGCCCCCTGGTTCAGACGGGACAGCACACGCTGGCACCCATCCCTCCAGGTGGGGAACATCTCCTGGGACAGTGTGGGGCCCGCAGTCAGATAAACAGAGGAGCCCCGAATTCTGGAGCTGGAGTGCTGCCCTACATCCTGGCTCTGTCTGCACCTCCCTCCTCCCCATGACCCCATGCTCCTCCTCCCTCTCCTCCAGTCCCCAGAGCAACAGGGATCTCGTGACACTTTGGGGAGGATTTGCAATGGAGTTGGGGGGGCTGTTATGGGAGGAACCGTTTCCCTCCCAACCGATACGTTGGTGTCCTAACCCCCAGCACCTCAAAATGTGACTGCATTTGGAAATAGGGTCTTTAAAGAGGTAATTAATGCTAAATGAGGTCGTTAGGGTGGGACCTAATCCAAGCTGACTGCTGTCCTTATAAGAAGAGATCAGGACACAGACACGCAGAGGGACGACCATGTGAGGACACAGGGAGACGATGGTGTCTACACACCTAGGAGAGAGGCCTTAGGAGGAACCAGCCCTGCACACACCTTGATCTTGGACTTCCAGCCTCATGACTACAGGGCGACGAACTCCTGATGTTCAAGCCACCCCAGCTGTGGGACTTGGTTACGGCAGCCGTGGGAAACTCGCACAGCGCAATGCCAGGCCCTTCCTTATTGTCTGCCTCCAGCCCACCCACCGTCCTAGAAATGACAAGTGATGGCTAACACGACATGGCTGTTCCCTTGTGCTCAGCACTGGGCTGTGGGTTTCTGATCACATACTCTTCCCGTCCCCTCCACGAATAAGCATCTTATCCTGACTTCACGAAAGACAACACCAGGAAAGGTTACGCATCTCATCTGAAAACAGAGTCCAGTGTCCAGTCAGGGCCTCCTTCACTCTTCTGTGACATTAGAAACACGAGGCCGACTTGATAGCAGAGGGAAGGTGCACGGAGGTGGGGCGCTCACCCCCAGCTGCCTCTGCCAACTGCTCTCGCTGTTTCCCACATTTGTACCTTGGTGGCGCCTAAACTGCACTTTTCAGTTTCCCAAACCCACAGAGTCACTTACTAGGATTTTACTTTTACTGAATGAATCCTGCAGACCTTGTCTCCACTGCGCTGAGATGAATGGTGGTGTTTATTCCTTGCACTCATATAATACCCCACGTGCAGCACAGAATGGTACACAGAATAACCACAGCTCCTGCCCCACATGAGGCCAGTTATTTTTCATAATCAGAGAAATGTAAATGAAAACCACAGTGAGCTACAATATCTCACCTACCAGACTGGCACAGCTCCAAAGGTCTGGCTCTGCACTCGGATGGCAGAGCCATAGGGGACAGGCATTTGCATACTTTACTGGTGGGAATACAAGCTGGACACCACCTAAGGAAGGAATTTGGCAATATCTGGTAAATGCACATGTGCGTTTATCATTTGAATCAACAATGCCACATCTAGGAGTCTATCTCAAAGACACACTGTCAAAAAAATATGAGAATGTGTGTTCAAGGTTGTTCATCAAAGCCTTGGTTTTAATAGCTAAAGGCTGGAAACAACCCAAATACCTATCAATAGGGAGATGGTTGAAGAAACTGTTTTACATCCACAAATGGAGAAACGTGCAGCTGTAAAAAAATACATGGAATATCTCTATTTACTGTATGGCATTTCTCCAGGATATAGAAAAAAAGAATAAAAAACTCAACGGAACTTCTAGAGAAAAAATATAGCATATGACATGACAAATTCACAGGATGAGTTGAACAGCAGGTTGGAAAGTGCAGAAAAAGATCAGCGAACTTGAACATAAGCCATTAGAAAGAATTCAAACCCAAGCACAGGGAAGGGCAGGTTGAAAACATAAAGAGCCTGACACTGAAACAGCATCAAGCTGCCTCAGATACAGACACCTAGAGTCCCAAAAAGAAGAGACAGACAAAAATAGTTGCAGAAATCGTGGCTGCAACATTTTCAAATTTGATGACATTCATACGTTGAATAAGTTCAATAAGCCTCAAGCAGGACAGAGGAAACTACACTACAGCAGATCATCAACAGATTGCTGAGTACCAGTGACTTTTAAAAAAATTCTAATGGAATTAGAGCAGGGGGTGGGCATTGACTACAAAGGGGCAAGAAGGAGTCTTCTGAAGTGACAGAAATGTTCTCCATCTGGTAACAGGGGTTCATGGGTGAAGACATTTGTCCAAACTCACAGAAAAGCACACTTGGAATCTTTGTGTAAATTATACAGCAGTAACCTTGATTTAAAAGGGAAAAAAAGGCTAGCGCTAACAACTAGGATATCCTTCCAAGCGGATATAAAATAATGACTGGGAGAATCATCATCATTCCCCTTGTCTTTTGCAAGCATGCTGCTCGGAGAGAACTGAGGTTCTTTCTTCCCCTCTGACAGCAGCCCCTGCTCCTGGGAACCCAGTCCCACGGCGCATCCAGAGCAGCCAACAGTTATTCAGCCTCAGAGGTGCTGGTGAGTAGTTCTTGGAGCCAAAAAATAAAGTAAAAAACTCGGATCATACCGAGTCCCTTCGGCTTGGGGCTTACCACAAGTGAAGTAGGGAAAGGCCGTTGGGGAGAGGGCGGGCAGAGGGTGGCCCACAGGAGAAAGCATGCCGGCTCCCCGAGGCCCTGGATGGTGCCCCCCTCCCCATTAGGAAACGGAGCGCCGGGCTCTGTGCACAGTCTTCGTATGGATACGCGCATCCGTGAGTTCTGATCTCAGCCAGCACAAACGTCTGAGGGACTCTGAGAATGAACTGCATCCCACTCCGGAGGAAGACGGTTAGCACTCGAGGGCCCCTAACCAGACGCCCACATTCAACAGTAAGTTCTCCAAATATCACCTCGCCGGCACCAGGAGGGCTGCTCACACACACGGGAGCTGTTACAGGTAACTTTCCAACGGCGGAATAATTTTCTTGGGTGGGAAACAAAATCCCGTGGGAGCCGTGTCCCGGCCAGGAGGGCCAAGCATCGGACAGGTCCGATGGCAGACACTTGGGAGTGACCTGCAGTCTGGAGGTCCGGCTGGTCCCAAGTCCCTGCCTATCAGGGGGTTTGTATCTGACCTTCCAGAAAGCCCTGCAAAGCCTTCTTCTAGTTCCCAGTTGCACCAGCAGCCGGACACCGGGCTTTGCGCGATGGCTCCTGTCCCTGCTGGGCAATATCTGCACCTGGGACGGAATTCAAAGTGGATCAGAACTCGGTCTGCGAGCGAGGAGAGGGGTGTGAAGCCGCGCCCGGAGCTGCGGGATCCGCAGCCTTCCCGGGCCCGCCCGCTGGGGCTCCCGCAGCCGGGGCGGGTGTCTGGCCCCCGCAGACGCAGGGCCCAGCTGCGCAGGCGACGCGGGACATGGCGCCCCTCCCCGCCGCGGGCAGCACCGGGGCAGCGGTGCACGCGA